TATTTTCCCCCTTTGAGTGGGCTACACTTTCCTGGGCACTGATTCTTGGAATGAGTCGCCATGCTGTGAGGAAGCCCAAGCAGCCAGCAGCCGTAGGAAGAGGAACCAACGTGCCCCAGGCCAAAGCCCTGGGGGATCTCCTAGTGACAGCCAGCACTAAGCACTAACTTATTAGCCAAATGAGTTGGAACCTTGGATGTTGATACTGCAGTCTCCTATCAGGCTACCACGGCTGATGTCAAATTAAACGGAGATGCTTTTTTTTTTTTTAAGGATAAAACCCTGAAGCTGTATGTAATAAACATGAATCAGTTGAATTATTTTGTAAACCTCCGAAATAAGCTGCTCTTAAGAATATGAACCAACTGTAAATATAGCACGTGATGACATTCACTAAATGGACTAATGATTCAAAACGAACATGCATTTAGTCAATCAAGCAAGAATGAATGGAGGTAGGAAGAGGGAGAGAAGGAATTGCCCTTTCTAGTAGGTAGAGGGCAGGAGCAGTGTCAGCAGAGGCCAGTGGCCGTGCGTCTGATCCCTCATCTGTCAGCATCCCCTCTTTTCTTGTGGATATACATGATGGTGAGATTTACTGTGATATATTCACATATGTACATAGGACAGTTAGGTCAGATTCATTCCACCGTCTTTCCCTACCCCATCCCTCCTTCCTTCCCTTTATCCCCCTTTGTCTACTGAATGGAGATGATCTTTGCCTTATTTATCCATTTTGAAATTAATTTGCTTCCTATTTGAATCTCATCTTTAGAACAGAGCTGTGCCAAGAAATAGAATGTGAGCCATGTAGACAATTTTACATTTTCTAGTAGCCGCGTTAAAAAAAATAAAAACAAATGAAGATAAAAATTATCATTAAAATTTCACGTTCTTTGTCATCTTACATGCTTGAAGTTCAGGGTGATCACACATATGACTATCCTTACGTTCAACTCAGTCTAGCGAGGTTTCAAATGCTCACTAGCCACGGGTGGTAAGTGACTACTGTATTGGAGAGCACAGCCCTAAATTGAAAGAATTGGAGGGCCAATCCCTCCATCCTTGCACTATTGAACAGGGAAGGAAAATGAGACCCAGAAGGAGAGAGTGACTGGCCCAGGGTTGTGCGACACTGCTGGGTGCTGCCCACAAAGTGTTCTACTTCCTGGAACTTCTGAATGTTATCTTGTTTGGAAAAAAGGATCTTTCTGGATATCACTCAGTTAAGGATCTTGCAATGAAGATATCATCCCTGATTATCTGGGTGAGCCCTTAGTCGGATGGTCTGTGTCCTGATAAGAGATAAAAATGGGAGATTAGACAGACAGAAGAAGAGAAGACAGACAGACACACACAGGAGGAGCTGATAAGAAGACAGAGGAAGAAGGACCATGTGGCCACAGGCCAAGGACGCCAAGGAAGGCTGACATCCACCAGAAACTGGACGAGATAAGGAAGGATCCTCCTCTGAAGCCTCCAGAGGGAGTTGGGCTGGGTGACACTTGATTTAGAGGTTCTACCCTCTCGAACTATGAGCAATATATTTCATTTTCTTTCCTTCCTTCATTTCTGTCTTCTTTCCTCTTTCTTTCTTTCTGTACTTGGGATGGAATGCAGGGACATTCAACCACTGAGCCATATCCCCATCCCCAGTCTTTTTAAGTATTTTATTTAGAGACAGGATCTTGCTAAGTTACTTGGGGGCCTCACTAAGTTGCTGAGGCTGGCTTTGAACTCGCGATCCTCCTGCCTCAGCCTCCCGAGTCGCTGGGATGACAGGTGTGCGCCACCGCGCCCGACTGAGCAATACATTTCTGCTGCTTTTAGCCACTCAGTTCTGTCGATAATTTTTTTTTTTTTTTGGGGGGGGGAGCCACAGGAATTGAAAACATCATCAGCAGGAAGCCTGGACTAACAAGATCTTGGCCTTCATTCCCAGCCAGAGAAACCTGTCTCTCAGGTCAGTGTTCACTTCTTCATGAAGAATGGACCAGGGAGGTGGGGGCTCCAGTGACCTGGAGGGCCCATGTCAGCCTCTAGGGAGCCACTGCCCTTCAGCTTCATGTGGTACCATGTCACATCCTGTGGCCTTATCGACTCAAATGTCCTCTCCTCTGTTCTCTCTCTGTTTCTCCCCCTTCTCCCCTACAATCTATTTTCCATCTCGTAGGCAGGGTAATCTTTTAAAAATCACAAGTTGTTTCAGATCACGTCCCTGCTTCCACGCCCCAAAAGGCCTCCTTTCACGAGAGTGAAACCCAAACTCCCATCCCCGAGGCCCTAACCTCGTCTTAGAAGTGCTCTTACCTCTGTCCACGCCAGCCACACAGCCCTTGCTGTGTTTTCAACATGATAAGCAGGCTCTTCCTTTGCATTTACTGTTTCTGTCTAGAACATTCTACCCCCCAAGAGGCCTTTGGTTCACCCCTTGGCTTTATTCAAATCTTTGCTTTAATGTCCCTCATTATAAAGTTTTTCCATGGCTCCTGTCATTCTTTGTTTTTTCTTACAACTTTCTTTACAGAAGGAACCTCCTTAGCACCCAGGTTTGCTGGTCGATTAGGTTATTTTGCTCACCCCCTTCCCCCATGAGACGATGAACTCCTCAAGGGCAAGGGCTTCTGTCGGGTTTATTTAATAGTTCGTCCATTTCATGAAAGAACAAATGAGTGGGTGAGTTCAGGAATGCAAGGCTCCATTTACTTGTATCTTTATCATTTTTCCTAGAGAAGTTAGAATTTGGGTATTTAGGTAAAATTCTAAGCATATAAACATGTGAATTGAAAAAAAAATATCACTGGGATAGTTAAAAAGGGTGTCCACGGTGCAGCTTTGGAGACCTTCTGACTTACAAGGAACTGGGTCCAATGGGAACCTCTTTCCCCACCCTGAGCTTGGCCCCCTCCAGGAACTGACAGCTTTTCACAGCCCACCAGTCCCTGCATCACCCGGCCCAGGCTCCATGAGGTTCTGTTTGTTGTTACAGACCAAAGTCATCCAGGGCACTTCGTTCAAAAGGCAGGATGTGGGCTGTGAGCTTCCAGATCAGGGGTTCAAAGGAAATCTACTTTAGCAGCAATGTCTCCTGGGATGTTTTCCCAAGCCTCCCTGAGAGGTGGCGGGGCCTCTTAAAGGACTAATAATAGACGGGCACATCCAGTTTCCCAAACATGTCAACCTTAAAAGTGAGTGCTATTTTTTTCCTGGTTACCTTTGAATTACTATGTAGGGGAAGGACATTCTATTATTATAGTGGTGGCGCTCCACATGCTACCTCATAATGACTTACCACTCGGTTGCTTCCAGGCAAAATTGTCATAATGGGACCTGATTTCTGTCACTACTCAGGTTTGCCCCTTTGTCATCCAGGTGCTTTGTAGTTAGGAACGTCCAACCACCATTCCACAACAGTGGGACTGTGGGTGTATCTCTTAATCACTCCACGCTGCACTATCCTTATCCATAATGAGACTTACTGAATCTACATAAAGTTGTCCTTGGGACTAAATAAGACAACACCAGTACCTGATGCTTACTGTCTTGGAACACATATTGGGCATGGGTAGGGATAAATGGGTGCTGGCTTTTAAAAAATGTTCACTCACCTGTTCACCCACTCACTCCTTCAACCAATATTTATTTGGCTCTTAGGTGTCAGACTCTGAGCTGGACACCCAGTGACATGATGGTAAGCAGCTCCTTCTAGCACAGCATCTTGGCCAACTGAAGGAGCTCATTGTCCAAAGCAGTGCTTCATTCCCAGATGATGGGGGTTGGAGAGAGAAAGTGCAGGGTATGGACAGGGCCTTGGATAACTCCCGGTTGCACCTCCTGACAGTTACCACCCTCTTAGCTTCGTCCCTGTCTTCCGGGATGCATCAAGGAGAGAGTCTACTGAGTTGTCTATTCATGTGTCTTGGGCATCTCTCCGACGTTTGCCAATCTTTTCTCTAGCAGGTAATAGAAGGCATCTGTCTTAGATGCTTTGGGTGGATGAGTAACAGGAAAAGTTTCTCACAATACCTCTTGCTACTCATATTTGAATAGATCAAGCCAGATAGACGTGTAAAAAAAATGGGGCACAAATATGACCAGAATTTGTAAAGATGAGTCCCAAGTGAATTAAATTTGAGGAAACACGGAACTATTAAATCTCTCTATTAGCCCCATTTTACAGTTGAGGAAACAGAGTCTCTGTGGAAGGGAAGAACAGAACATAGGGAGAGATTTCTTCTACATAATTCAGGCAAGCAAACCCCAGAATCTTCTTTGTGGTGGAGTTAGATATATATAAAACAAAGATCGCTCCTCCCCTACCTCTGCAGAACGTGTGTATGTATGTGTGTGTAAGGGTGTGCAGCCACAGGCCTTTCCGGATGAGTGACAGAGAGAGCCCATCCCTCCAGGAGACGCGTGCAGAATGACCAATGGGATGCATGGGGGTGGATGGGTACCAGTCTCTCTGCAGAGGCCAGGGTGGAATCTGCTGGGCCCTCGGCTCCCCTTCTCCCCCTCCTAATCCCCAAAGGTCCTTCCGCTGTCGTTACTCCCCAGGGCGGAGGCACTGAGGTGCTCATCTCCTTAAAGCAAACCAGGACCCCAGGACCGAAGACTGGGTAGGGGGCGAGGCTGGGAGCAGACGAACGCAGGCTGCGGTCCCCGCGCCGCAGCGCTGCGGCTAACCCTTCGCTGGGAGGCCGGCAGCCGCGGGGGGTGCCAATATGTAAAGCAGCTGGCGGCGCTGGGCGGGGCCTGAGCGCGATGCAAATGAGGGAGGCGGAGCCCGGGGCAGGCTCCGCCTCCCTCCCCCGCAGCTGGGGCCAGCGGTGCCAAGCGCAGCTGGACCAGCGGCAGCAGCTGGGCGAGTGACAGCCCAGCTCCGCGCGCCGCCGCCGCCAGAGCCGGCGCAGGGGAAGCGCCCGCGGCCCCGGGCGGCAGCAGCGGCCGCCTCCTCCCGCGCCTTCCGGGCCCCGCAGCCCGCGGTCCCGCGGCCCCGGGGCCGGCACCTCTCGGGCTCCCGCTCCCCGCGCGCAAGATGGCTGACCCGGCTGCGGGGCCGCCGCCGAACGAGGGCGAGGAGAGCACCGTGCGCTTCGCCCGCAAAGGCGCCCTCCGGCAAAAGAACGTGCACGAGGTGAAGAACCACAAATTCACCGCCCGCTTCTTCAAGCAGCCCACCTTCTGCAGCCACTGCACCGACTTCATCTGGTGAGAGCGCGCCGGCGCAGGGCACCTTCCCGGGGGCCCCCCGAGGGCAGTGCCGCGCGCGGGGACCCCCCTCTCCGAGCCCTCAGTGCTCCCGAGGGAGAAGCCACGCCGGTACCCCTCGCCCCAGGCTCTCCCCTGGACCCTTCTGGCCCGAACTCCCTGATGGACAGTCCCGCAGGTGCCCGGTCCTCTGGTCCCAGACGGCTGGCTGGGAGGCACCTCCTGCCCTCTCTTGCCCCCAGGAGCCTCTAGAGCACCTATGGGCAGCATCGCGGGCGCTTTTTCGCCGGCTGGCTCGGAGCACCGAGTGTCTGTCCCATCTCCGCAGGGCAGCCCCTCGGGTGCCCTCTCTCCTGGGGTTCCCTACCTCTCTGCCTTCTTCCGGGCTCCAGGCGCCCCAACCCTCACCCCTCCTTTCCCGGGGCAGCACCCCGGGGGGAGGTGTCCTTTGCAATCTCCCTGAGGGCATGGGACATCCTTTCCTCCTCAGAGTCCCCAGAGCAGTTCTCTGGGTTATCTCTTATTGCGCCTCCCCGAGGGCCTGGGTTCCCTTCCCACTGATCAGTCCTCCCCCTCACATCACTGCGGGGGAGCCCTTTCTTCTCCCTGTCCCTTCAGGCATGGGGCGTCCTTTTCACCTTCCTAGTCCCCAGGGGACACCGCCACTGCCTCGGGGTCCCTCTCTTCCTCCCTCTGCCTGGGTCTGTATTTCTTCTCTTTGCCCGAGGGCACTCGGGGCATCTCTACGGCAGGTCTCTAGCCTGCCTTCCGCCCCCACTCCAACGGAAATGCTCACCGCCCCCCATCCACGCCCCCATCCTGCCACCTGGTGGTCGCAGTCCCCTCTGTCTTGCTCGGGTGACGGAAGGTGGGGGTTACCGCTGAGTTGCCACCTACACCCACCTCCCCAAGGCGGAAGACTCTTGGGCACCCGCCTGTGGCTGGGAGATTGCACCTGGCTGGCTTAGAGGGCAGGGGAAGCGAGCGGGTGACTGTGGGAGAACTAGCTGGTGGCTGGGCCCCTCTGGCTGACATGCCTCCTTCTGCCTTTGCAGGGGCTTCGGGAAGCAGGGATTCCAGTGTCAAGGTAGGCTCTGGGGCTTTGGGGATGCCGTTTGTGGGAGGAGAGGGTGAAAAAAGACTTGACAGAAGGGATCGAGTTGGTAGAGCGGAAGGAATCCCGCCTGTCAGAGTGACCTCCCAGGCTAGGAATTCTTCACCATAAAAGGGTCCTTTTAGGAAGTGTGTGTGTATGGGACAGTGATGCTCCATTCAGGAAAGGCCCCGTGGAGCTGGAGGCCCTAAAAGTGGAGGAAATGCATCCATCCTTTGTCCTTTCCCAGGAATGGAAGAGTGGAAAGGGGTCCGATCCTGCTTGAGTCTCCGGAGACCCTTTCTGGGAGGACCTTTCTTGCCCCTTTTCCTGCTATTGCCCTTCGTCGCACAGGGAAGTTTTGCTTCTTCTCCTGCTTTACAGAGGTCTCCGCAGGTGGCTGCCTCCTCTGCAGATGGCGTCTCCCCTAGAAAAGCAACTGTGGTATCCCCTGGGCCGCCTCCTCCTCTGAAAGAAGTGGTTCCAGATGGGGTGCCTCTCAGATCCTGGTTTAAATTGTCCTTTCTATCTTGTGGGTAGAAACAGGAAAGACTCCCAAGTTACCTGGGTCCTTGCATCTGGTCGGAGACCCTGGACTCGAGCCAGGCATGCCCAGCCTATTTTGATCAGGTGTAAAGTGACCTTGGGTGGTGTCGGGGTTACAAATGGGCTCTCCAAAGCCATCTCATGCAAGGACTTGTTTATCCCCGAGGATAGCTTAAACATTTTGTGAATTAGATGTCAGCATTTTAGAACGGGGAGGTTTCACATACATCTGAATTTCCAACTTCTACTTTGCTGAGAAATAGTCTCCCTTTGATGTTAGAGCAATCATTTGGAACTGAGAGCAGCTGTTTTTGTAGCTGGGGCACTCACATTCACCATTTTGTCCCAGTTCATTCCCACCTGGCCTGCTTCATCCCCTTTTGGCCCCTGTAGGTATTTGAATTTGCAACCTCTGGTCTGGAAATTTTGTTTGCTTCCCCTCCACTTTTAAGCAAGAGCAGTTGAGTTTGATGAAAAACGGCACATTTCTACTATGTGACCCCCGGGGTCAATTGAACATCCTGGCGCACTGGGTTTAGACAAGAAGAAGAAAGCACTTGAGTGATGGAAGGTTTGAAATACGACTTGGCACTCACCAAGGTTTAGTGGTTGCCTTGACTCTCCAGGGAAAAGCAAAGAGATCCCTGGTGAGTGGAGATGGCATTGTGAGTTGTGTACACTCTGGAGCATGGCACTGCTGTCCTCTGAGATGCTGGCTCTTTTCTGATATCTGGGGCAGGACAGACTCAATGCCCCTGCCTCTCTTACCAAGATTTGGAGCCTCAATCTCATGCCACCCACCAGAGGACTTCCCAGATCCCTTTAAATGGCAAACACTTGGGCCCAGGTACAAATGACTTGGATCGATTTCTAGAACTTTGTCTGACCCCTCCCCCGCCCCCAAAGAAAATACCAGTGGCAATTTGGTGCCCGAATGTGTCATTTCTTTTCTGAGATTGCCTTTCTCCATTCCACAAATGGGTTTCTGTCTTCGTGTCTTGCCGAGGTCAGGGGTGACTTTTAAACATTTTTTGCTGCTGCTCTCTTGGGCTGTGAGCTCTGACATTATTGATGGCCAGGAAAGTCACTTTGGAATGTGTGGATTTGGCACGTCAGAAGCAGGAGACCCTTTTGTTCAAAGCCTGGGAAATGATAGGAGTTTTCTGATGTAATGAGAAAGAACGAATTAAAATTTCTAATGAAGTATGGATACTTTAGAGATAGGAGTGCCTTTCTCATTTATTTATTTGTTATTTATTTATTTATTTATTATTTTTGTAGAATGGATTGAACCCAGGGGTGCTTAACTACTGACCCACATCCCAGCCCTTTTTATATTTTATTTTGAGACAGGGTCTTGCTAAGTTGCTTAGGGCCTTGCTAAGTTGCTGAGGCTGATCCTCCTGTCTCAGCCTCCTGAGCCCCTGGGATTACCGGCCTACACCACCACACCTGGCCCACTTTAAATACATTTTTTTCTTTTTGTAGTTGTAGATGGACAGAATGCCTTTATTTTATTTGTTAATTTTTATGTGGTGCTGAGGATTGAACCCAGTGCCTTATGCATACTATCACTTTGCTACTGAGCTGTAGCCCCAGCCCCTGGCCCACTTTTTTAAAAATATTTTTTTAGTTATAGATGGACACAGTACCTTTATTTTATTTGTTTAATTTTTATATGGTGCTGGGGATCAAACCCAGTGCCTCATGCATGCTAGGCAAGTATTCTACTACTGAGCCACAACCCCAGCTCCCCTGGCCCACTTTTTAAAAAAAATCTTTTAAATCATCTTCTTACCCCTCACCCTGTGGGCATGTGCAGAGGCTACCAAGTAAGTTAGTGTGGGGTCGAATCATGACTTTGAGACTTAATTACTTTCTTTGTACCTCAGATTCTTTATCTGAAGAATGGGGCCAATAACAGTACCCACCTTAGAGTTGCTGAACAGCTGTAAGTCATTACAATATTTAAGATGCTTGGACCAGAATGTGGTGCAGAATTACCTCTCAGGAAAGAATCAGCTGTTACAGTTGTCTCCAAACTACCTGCCACGGTAGGGCAGCTCTGTAGGGTTGCTTTGCCATGGAACTGTTAGCTGAGTAAGAGTCAAAATTCAGCTGTGAACATGTGGTTACCTTGGGTTGCTGCTGTTGACAGTGTATTTCACTTGGGTCGGAATAGGGAGGAGAAGAGAGCAGGTGTGACCGATTGTCAGTCCCTGGCATTGAGATATTTAGGATGGGGTATATCCAGGAAGGAACGAAATTTATCCCTGGCATTGAGCATTGCCTGGGATTAATTCTGGAATCATAGAGGAGCTCCTTCTTATCTGATTATTTCTGGGTACCAGATATTTCCTCTTAAAGTGAATCCTACTTAGAATGGGATCAACATTTTAATAGAAAACACATTAGGCTTTATTTTTTTCACCTAAGTCAATAGTCCAGAGAGAGCCCAAGGTCCTTCAAAAGGACAGACACACACTCAGGGTCACTTGTGGAAGTTGATTCCAGAGACTTTGGCCTGCATCCTCTCAGCTAGAACTTGATCACATGGTCCCACCTGCTGCCAGGGAGCCTTGGGAAATTCAGGTAGCCGGGTTCCCAGCCAAGAGCTAGCTGGGGGAGGGGAGTTTCCCTTTCTAAAGTGGAGACACAGAGAGGATAAACCTTCTGCCATTCTTGTGTGGGAGGTGTGTGGGCTGATCCTAAGGCAAAGAGGCCAGAGAGAGCCGCCCCCAGGCTTCATTATGCTGTCACGCAAATTGGGGATGTTGGTGTGAGCTGGGAGTGGACCGATGGAAAAGTTCATAAACCATGGGAAATTATGGATTTTTATGTGCCCAGGGGAGCTTAAGGATAGATTTTCTTGCTTTTGTGCTGCTACAGGACAAAACTCTAAGTTGACTGCTACATAATTTCTCCCTTTCTGTTTTCACTGTCTTTTTAAATAAAACCACTCTCTGGGAGGTAGTTTAACAATGCTTCTGGTGACAGGGGATCGGGACTGAGGATCCCTGTTGTGACATTGCCTACATTCTGGATTAGAAGTGGGATCCCTCACACAAGCAGACTTCTCTCTCTGGCATTCTTTAGAAGAGCCTAGAACCTGTGTTTATGCTTTGGTTATAATTGAGACAAGCCATTGTGGGTGGAATTCAATTCTTCGCCCAAAAAGATTTTGCAGTTTGGCAGAGAGAAAATTTATTTATTTATTTATTTATAAGAAAGTCACTTCAGTAGAAACAGACTGTAAAATAATAAAGATCCAAAATATATAGCGTGAGATTGGAGTTAGATGGACCTGGGCTCACATCTCTGATCTGCCACCTACTCACTGTGTGACCTTTGGCAAATCATTCCCTTTGTTGTAGCCGGGGCCTCCTCATCTATAAAATGGGGATCATGATGCCTACTTTATGGGGTTATCGGGAGGAGTAAGGAGGGCCTGCCGAGAAATATCCACTGTAAGTATGAATGGCTGTGAGATGATCATTATTACTGGATAGTGATAGCAAACTGTGTCAAAGTGGGAAAGAGTTAATTCTGGAACACACTAAATGACTATGCCTGTTTCATGTGCTTAGATGGGGTTTCTTTTTAGGTCTGTTTCTCTATAGGCTTTGAGTGACGCCAGCGAGTACACAGTTCAGTGTCTAGAGCCGGAGAGCCAGGCTTGGTGAGCACCATCTTTCCTTGTGAGAAAGATCTGAACTTGCCATGGACTCTCTAGCAAAAACCCCAGGGCGCTAATTTTCTGACTATGAAGAGCTAGAATGGATGATGATGATTAGTAAATCTGCTCTTCCCTTTCCTGTGCAGATTCAAAAACTCCTTTTTTATGTTTATAATTAAAATTATTATAAATCTTAAAGTATTACGTGAATCCAACCAGTTGTATTTGTTTCCGCCAGATAGCAATCCTACAGAGCAGAAGCTTATTTTAGTGTCTAATTAGCATATATAGGTTGGAATATTTTTCATGTAATCAAAGAGGAATGAGAGTTTGAGTGTAGCTCAGTGGTCGAACATTAGCCTTGCATGTGCAAGGTCCTAGGTTCAATCCCCAACACACACACACACACACACACACACACGTAAAAAGTGAATCAAAGGTTAATTTTATTTTGAGCGTAGTTTTCCCTATGAATTTATAATATAACACTGTGTACTTCAGGTTGAACTTTCTCAGTAAAATCATAAAGAAGGCCATTAAAAAAAATGACTAAGTCCGCCGACAAGTTGTTGGATACCTCTAATCCCAGAGGCCTGTGAACCAAACCCCACTCACCTTTTGGCCCATTTTGAATGGGTCCTGGGGGTTTCGATGAGGATAAAAGACAGAGAAGCCTTTTGACTTTGGGTTTGATAATTTGGCTCTTTTCTTTTTCTCACCTGAAGTGGGATTTCAGGCTTAGTGTCCCAATTGAAATAAGAATCTTTGGAGT